ACTTGGGTGCCTTTCATCCTCTCTCCAGGTTCATAGGGTTTCCAGAGGCAAGCTATTATGGAAGTGGATGCCACTCCTCCTTCCACGCTTGTTTAATCGGGGAGCTCCACCCCACTCTCTGTCCTCATTGGGTGGCCAACCATTAACGCATTTGACACATCCGTGTCACAGTGTTCAGCCTCACAGCAACCACAAGTGACCGCGGGACGGCAACTTGGTACACCAGGGCTATATGACCTAGAGGAATGTCTGAACAAAAACAATGAAAGACTGGCCAGAGGGCCGCGAACTAAAAGTCACCCACCTTTGTCTTGTTCACATCGTTTTCTCTTCACTGGGCCAGCTGATCTCTCTCTCTCTCTGTTGATGTTATTGTTGTTAAGTGCCGTCGAGTCACAGACACTTTTAAAAAATATTAAGCAACATATAAAGGTACTTGTACAAAGAGTAAGGGACGCATGTGCAGGCAGCTTCTGACCTCTTCACGAAAGGGAACAGTCCCATCGGCAACATTTACAGTACAAAACTAACTCCCATAAGGTCAGACATGGCCTCCATGCTCTCATACCTACTTCTATTAATTCTGACACAAATCTTACTGCTCTACTATAGAATTTGAAATCCTTTGCTATGGCTACACAGATTTCACAGAGCCGTGCTTACAGTTATAGGGTTTATTAGGGAAGGTAATGAGTTACAATTCAGGTTGCAAGCAGGATACACTTCCTCAGGTGCTTCTCAAGCAACTCAGAGACCTTTTGACCTTCAGCCTCGCTGCTTAGGTCAATGTTACAATGTTCTCTTAATCATGGCATTTACGGTGCCTTTCTTCATCTTCCAGCATCTTGGGCAAAGGCCCCTGGCGCTGGCTCCAGAGGCAGCAGTCCCAAGTCAACTCTGTCTCATGTGAGTCTCCTGTTCTATGCTTTGGGCTGCTGGTTCTCTCAGGTGAGGGGAGCTCCGTGTCTGGCTAGTGCGGGAACCTCTGGCCCTGAACAATGCGTGGCATATTGTCTGCCTCTTCCACCTTGCTGGTAGTGAGATTCCCATTTTTGCTGATAAACCTGCTCAGTTTAAATTTATGGGATGAGAAAACAAACAAGCAAAAACCCTACAACTGACCAATTCCATAATGTGTACTTTATGCACATTCTATTTCAAGTTCACACATACTTATATGGTGAAAGTCAAAGTCAGTAGCTAGTAAAGCCGTTTTAAACAATAAAATCGTCACCTGGTTGTACCTGCCAATGACCACACAGTTTTTATTCAAGTTTCCTTCTCTCTAGGGCTATATTTTCTGCAGTGCCTTCTAAAGCTCCTGACAGGTAAAAGCTCTCCAACCTCTTGGACCTATCTTCATTTGGAAATGCACTTACCCTTGGTTTGCTCTTTCCAGGAAAGAAGTTCTTCTTCTATATTTTATTTCTGGACCACCATAAATTGCATTGCAGTAAAGAGAATGTGCTTGAAGGAAAGCTGGCCTTAACATCTGCCCCCATTTTGACAGTTCTACACTGTGAAATATTTTGCACTACCAGTCAGTAAGACAGTAATGCAAATAGATATTGCCATTTGAGAGAGCACTTCCCTCCTAGGTTCTTCTCATTCCTCTCATCGATGCAATCCACATGCCCATAATTGTGTCCTATTCTGTCCTTGCACTTGGACAAAGGCTTGCTAAGGAGGAATCTTCTTTGTCCTCTCTTTGGATATAAGTGACAATCTCTGACTTAAAGTAAATTGACAAAACTGTCACAGGTTTATTTTTTTGCCCCTTTACTGGTGACACATGTAAACTCTCCTTGGTCTAATTTATCTTTCCTCTACATCATTTCTGGGCTCCCCTTTCTATTGACTGTAGGGGTATAGCTTACAATCCCTTTTCCTTCAGGCTTTCAGTAAGTGGTAGGACAGAACATGTAACTGTCAAAGGCAAAGAGTTTATGAGAACGGTTGTATGAACAATCTATTCCATGTACAATGCTATCACTAAAGGAGAAAGATGAATCATTATCTATACCATTTCTTTTTTAGTGGTAGATATCAAACTGACTTAGAGTCATTCCTTGAGTCAGCCAAGCACAAAACTTCATACCTGAATTTCCTGGGTCTCATTGGCATGCGTTATTTTATTGAAGAACAGCTCTTGCTTAGTATCCTGCTTTCCTCAATGGTCAGGTCATTCAGTGGCACGTTCACTTCTTTTAGGTGGTTATTAATTGCTCACAATTTGTGGAGCCAGTCACAGCCAGCTTCTTCTTTGTCTGCAGCTGTTGAACTGTCATTGCAGTGTATGTTCTCATTCAATTTCTTGAATCTGGATTTAGTCATAATTTCTGCAACACAAGTAGCACATAAGCAGGGTCACTGAGCCATTAATGACTGAGCTCCAGCAAGACATGCTTACCCATCTGTACGTGCACAGCAATAGATTCTTTATTTCCTATACAGATGCAGGCTGCTGGTTTTCAGTTGGCATTCTAATTTTCTGTGCAGTCTTGTGCATGCCTGGGATACATAAAAATGCCATTATTCATTTAGAATTTCCAAGAGTGCTTTCGTAAGTGCAGACTGAAATAATCTTCTGAATTCTTTACTAGTCAAATATAGGTAACACTGTCACATTTGCTGAAGTGATTGATTTAAAATACAAAACATCTTTGGACAACTCACCTTCATTTTCTTTACTTCCATCCTGGGCTTCATCCACCCTTTCTTCTGTCATACCTACCCCATTATTATCTAATAGAATGTCAGTGTTGTTACTTTTCAAAATGACCACACACAGGCCAGCTCATCTAAAGCATCTTCTTCATACTCCTTTTTATTCTTGAGGGTGACAATAGTACAACTTTTCTTTGTTTTTCAAAGAATCCATTTCTAAAATAGAGAAATGCTTCAGGAAAAAAAAATAATTCCAGCCTTGGAAAAGTAGGATAATACCCTACCATAAAACAAAAGTACAAGAAAACACAAGGGGAAATGATGTGATTCCAACCTCCCATAAAAATAAAGCAAACAAAATTAACTGCTGTCAAGTGAAAATTCAGTTAACACTGTATTTAAAAAGTTTCTCTCTGATGATTCTAAGTAGTAATTCAATTATTTCTAGCAAACAAATGTAAAATTCTACCATAATTAATGCTTTATTCATCTAGTTCCTTAATTCTACACTACAGATGTACATACATAGATGCAGTTGTTTGTTATGTACCATCAAATTGCTTGCAACTCATAACAACCCTATGTACAACACCTTTGAGCTCTGCTCTATCTTCATTGTCTTTGACACACCCTTTGCCTTTACCCCAGCCACTGAGTGAATTCTTCTTATCCAGGGTCTTCCTCTCTTGCACTGTCCCTCAACCCTTCTAGCATTATTTCCCATACTAAGGACTGGTCCCTTCTTGCAACTTACCCAAAGTATATCAGATGGAGCTTTAAAATTCTTGCCTCTAAGAAGTAGCCAGGTTTCATCCTCTCCAGGAAAACCTGTTTGTTCTCCTAGCAGTCAATGGAATATTCAGTACGCTTCTCCAGCACCGCAGCTCAAAGGCATCAATTTTCTACCATCTCTAGTCATTATCCAGCTTTCTGATGCTTAGCAAGCAATTGCAAAGACCATGGCCAGTGTCAGGTGCACCTTAGCCTCTAGACTGACATTGTTGCTCTTCAGTACCCTAGAGAATACCCTGACAGCAGATTTTCCCAAGGCAATTAATCTTTTGATTTCCTAACTGTTGGTACCAAAAGTATTGATTGTGAAGTCAAGCAAACTGAAGCTCTTAACAATCTCAATCTCTTCACAGTCTATCATGATGTTGCAAATCAGCTCAGTGGTGAGAACTTTTGTTTTCTTGATGTTGAGCTTAATGCATATTGAAGGCTGCAGTCCTTGACCTTCTGCAACAAATGCCTCAGGTCCTCCTCAGTTTTGGCAAGCAAAGTTGCATCACCTGCATATCCTTATGCCACATTCTTCCTCATAGAACTCAGCCTCCAAGATGATCTGTTTTGTATATAGATTGAAAAGGTATGACGCTAGGATGCTTCCCTGGTGTACATCTTTCCTGATTTTGAAACATGTAGTGTTTCCTTGTTCCATTCTAATGACTGCCTCTTGGTCCAAGTATAGATTTTGCTTAAGCACAATCAAGTGTTCTGGGATTCTCATTACTCTCAGAGTTAGCCATTGTTTGTTGTGATCCACACAGTCAAATACCTTTGCATAGTCAATGAAGCACAGATAGACATTCCTCTGTTACTCTCAGCTTTCTGCCAAAATCCATCTGACATTTGTTATAATATCCCTAGTGCCACAACCTCTTCTAAACCCAGCCTGCACATCTGGCTATTCTCTGTTTATGTGCTATTGCAGTGGTTTTGGGATAATTTTCAGCAGCATCTTGCTTGCATGTGACATTAGTGATATAATTCAATAATTTCCACACTCTGTTGGGTCACCTTTCTTTGGAATGGGAACAAATATGGATCTCTTCCAGTCAATTAATGAAACAGTTTTCCTCCAAATTTTTTGGCACAACTTGGTGAGCATATCCTGAGAAGCATCTGTTTGTTGAAATATGTCAGTTGGTATGCTGTCAATTTGTAGGGTCTTGTTTTTTGCCAATTTCTTCAGAGAAGCTTGAACATATACTTATTTCCTCTTGAATACAAGTTTGAGATTTTTCTTTCAATGGGTGGCTTAGAATTGAAAATGTTACATAAGGTAAATTTACCTTTAGCTTATTGGCTATATGTTACTTTTTGTATATAACCTTTATAATTATGATATTGAGCATATGAGATAGAGCATTCTACCTTAGTTAATTTCATATTTATAATTTATGAAAAAATACCTAGTATTGGTCTAGATATATATGCTGAATTAAGATTGTATATGACATCTTGTGTCTAGTTGACATTATAATATGGACTATTAAATAGTAAATAAGCAGATGGTATAGAAAACTTATGCCCCTTTTTAATTCCTGTAGGTATTTATGAGCCTCCATTTATTGTACTACTGCAGTGAACCTACCTTGGATGTGAAAATTGCCTTTTGTCAGGTGTGTGTTCCTTACAGGTAAAACAAGGTACAGTATATATTCCCTTGTATTTCCATTTCATCTTGCATATGTTCCATGCCAAAGCTAGTATATTTCTAATATTAAATCAAATTGGTATAGGCTGTAGAAATGAATACTTAAAAGATTTTTTATTCACTTCCTTTAAATTGGAATAGAAATGAGTAAATCTTGAACAATTTTATTAAGTTTAGTATTTGTGCTGCTAACCCATTTGTGCTGGAATCCACCAGTGACTCAGAGGGAGAAAAAGGAACAATCTCTTCTGCAATTTAAAGGCCCTGAAAACCAGCTGCAGGCTTGGTCACAAGCTGATTCTGACTCAATGGTGATGCCTTGGAGCTTTATGTAATTTCATAGTAAATGTCATTTATCTTTAATATTTTTTTGTGTATATATATATAAATGTATTTTGGTTTGCATATACAAAATTATATGTATCCTTAATATTTTACATATATACATGTAAAACACACACACATATATAATACCTACTTCGGTGTGTATATATATGTGTGTGTGTGTATATACATATATATATATATATATATATGTATATACACACACACATACGCACATATGTATTGACATATACACATGCATATATATACACACATACATATATATACATATGCATGCATATTTATCTTTAAGATTTTTGGAATATATATATATACACACACACACACATCAAGATATACATATATGTGTGTGTGTATATATATATATATATACACATACAGATATATGTGTGTGTATATATAGATATGTATATATATACACATACAGATATATATGTATATCCATATATATCCACAAAAATATATGTATTTTATATATATATATATATACAAAATATGTATAAAGTGATATGTAAAATATATATTAAAATTACTGGCATAGCTTCATCAAAATAACTGAAGTTTTATGTTATCATTTCTCATAAGGACTGAGGAGTCTCTAAAAGCATGGTTTCTTCATTAGTCATAAATTGCCATCCGGCAGGCCCTGATTCTCAGTGACCTAGGCACAGCACAATGAAACCCCACCTCATCCTGTGTCGTCTTCACAATTAGTGCTGTACTTGAACACTATTGCAGCCACAGTGTCAATCCATCTCTTTTAGGGTCTTGTTTTGCTCTGTGATCTTCCTCTTTACCAAGAATAGTACCTGTTCGAAGGAACTGATCTCTCCTGACAACATGCCCAAATTGTAGGAGGTGAAGTCTGGCTTCTGTGTACCCTTACGTCTAAGAAGCACTCTGGTTGTTCTTCTTCCAGGACATATTTGTATGTTCTTTTGTCCATCCATGTGCCAACACCACAATTCAACAGCATCCATTTTTCTTCTATATTCATTGCCCAATACATCGCTTGAATCAAGTGCTTCTTATCCCTCATAATGGCATCTTTGAATTTAAGACACTTTAAAGAAGTCCTTGGTGTCTCTTTTTGCTTATATGTGGTTTCATTCCTTGACAGTAAATTGAAATTTATTGACATCTTCAATCTTCTATACATTAATCATGGAGCTGTTTACATGTATCATAACATGCAAACAGTATTTTCTTTTCTGATAGCCAGTTCTAAACAGTAGTTAGTTAAAAAGGTAAAAAACAGCATCCAATAAAAGTATATTGACCCATAGAAGAAACTAACAAAAAGGTAGAAATGATCATTGGAAATGTGCACAAAAAATATAAGAGTGCAGTATCCTGTATTAACATTCTTATGAAATGGGCTTCTCTGTATGACTTTACATACTACAGGGAAGTTTAGTCTTAACTAAAGAAAGCCTGACATGCCTGATTGGTGCAGACAGTTAAAGAGATGATTGCCAATGGAAAAGTTTCAGCTTCAAGTCCAACCAGAAGCCCCTCAGGAGAATGACTAAACAATTAGATAGTGCAAATCCTATGGAGCACAGCTACTCTGGAACATATAGTTAACAAAAGGAGTTGGAGTTGATTTGACAGCAACTGTTTGTTTTGTTTTGATCTTAAACAAAAGTTTGTTGTCATGGTATAGTTTACAGTGACTGCTTTAACTCTCAGGAATTGTTTTGATCTAGATAAATTATGGTCTAATAAATAAAAACAGTAAAACTTGACCCTGTTTGCATCCCAAGCAAACAGGTCATCATTTCAACTGTTCTACATTTCATATCATTGTATCTCTTCACTGAGCTGTGTTACAAACAGATCATGAGATACATCCTTTATATAATTCTTTAAAAAGCCAAGCCAGTGCCTCAGCTTCTGTTTTTTTAATACAACCTTCTCTGATTTTAGAAGTAATGTGATATTATTATAGGAAAATATGAAGGTAAATAAAAAATGTTTTGTCTACTTGCTCTAAGCATAGCCAGAATGTTTATGGGGAAGAAGAACACATTAGCTCCAGTAAGCAGGATGGAATGATCCATCTTCCGAACCTCTAACTGGTGGGATGCTTGAGGCCTTCAGACCACTTTTCTTCTCTAAACAAGAACACTAAATCAGACAGCCTTGCTTAGAAATCCCAGCTGTAACACTTGTTAGATTTTACTTGGGACTTTGGAAGCTTACCTAAAACAACTTTTTGTTCTATTTTTGTTCTTTTCAGTAAGAGGAAAGTAGTTCTTACTTCCTAGAGTTGTTTGGAGAATTGTGAGTGAATATTGAAAAGGACTGGGACCAGTGATAATATGTTGTTGGAGTTGTTATGTACTGTCAAGTTGGAGCCAACCCATAGCAGACCCTTCAAAAGGTTTCCAAAGGCAGTAAATCTCGTGAGAAGAGATGCCCATTTTTCTCCCATGGACCAGCCGGTGGATTTGAATCATGTGCTTTTGAGTTGACAATGGAGCTCCTTAACACTAGACAACCAGAGTTCCCTGTGCTGTTATAGGAAACACAGTTTAAGTATTTATTAAATGAACACATCTTCATCATTCTCTCAGAGAATGATCTCATTGAGGCCAAATTAAAGATTATGAGTATTTGAGGATTCCTGTACTTATACCGATAGTTAAAATCTTTCCTTAGAACTGGATTTGTAACTGATGCTTACTTATCTTCCATGGAAGAGAGAGATTTTATTATTTTTGAGGAAACATCCAGCTCTTTTGGTCTCCCTTCCTTCATGACTTTGGTCCCTCTTCTTCTTGAGTAACTTTTCCTCTGGTTTAATAAGAGGAGAAATTGACTCTAATCTCAAGATACTTTTTAGGAGAAAAGAGGGTACTTGGCATGCACATGGGTAGAAGGGTCTCACTGACAATAGCTTGGAACACTCTTAACTGGAACGTGTGTTGGAATATGGAGGCTGCATGGTGGATGTGGTAGAGTGGGACGTGGTGGGAGAGGCCAGGGAGTGGAAGAGGCTGTTGGGGAAGGAAGTCCTGGTGTCATGAACACTAAACCAAATCCATCAATTAGAACTCTGTGTCTTTGGGATTGCAGCACAGTGTCTTACCACTAGACCACCAGAGCTCCGTTTACTCCCTTTGTGGAATCAATTCAAACTTATAGTGACCCTATAGCACTGAGAGTCTGCTGTCAGAGATCTTTCTAAACTACTGAAGAGTAACGATGTCAGTCTGGAGACTAAGATGTGCCTGATCCAGGCCATAGTCTTTGTAATTACTTGTTGTGCATCAGAGAGCTGGACAATGACTAGGCTGATAGAAGGAAAATCAGTGCCTTTGAGCTATGATGCTGGAGAAGAATATTGAATATACCATGCACTGCCAAGAGAACAAACAATTTCTTCTCCCTAGAGACAGTGAAACCAGGCTGCTCCTTGGAGGTGAGGATGCTGAAGCTGCTTTGTCTGACGTACTTTGGACATGTCGCAAGGCAAGATTAGTCATTGGTGTCTATGATAGGATCTGTCCGAGGCAGATATTTGCTCACTGAATGAATGAATGATAAATGTTCAATTCATAGAATATTAGGGATTATTTTCATGACAAAATTATAGGAAGAGAAATGCATATTAAAGTGGACTGTGGACTGTGGACTGGGGGAGGATTGCATAGCAATGAAAGGATTTTCATTTTTTTTCTTTAAAGAGAAAAACAAACTGGTGGGGAGTGGTGGGCAGGGTGGAAAATGTGCAACAATGAATGAAAGGGGAAAAATTAAATGGAAAGAATATGCTATAAAAATATATATATGATGCACACTCATGTTTATCGCACCTCTGTTCACAATAGCAAGGAGTTGGAAACAACCCAGGTGCCCACCAACAAACGAATGGATAGAGAAGCTGTGGTATATTCACACAATGAAATACTATGTTGCATTGAAAAACAAGGAACTCATGCAATATTATTCAAAATGGGTGACCCTGGAGGACATTATGCTGAGTGAAATATCTCAGTCGCAAAAGGAAAAATATTGCATGGTGCCAATGCTGTAAAATGGAACTGATATCAGATTGGGGTAAGACTGAGAAAAACTGGATAAATTATGTATACTGCATTGAAACAGATGAGGGAGAGACTAATTTAAAAGCGATGTATGATAAGATATTATGGTTATCACAAGAGTCCACAATTAAGGTTGCATAGTGGAATGTACTTGGGGCAACGGGAGGGGTGTGGGGGGATTGTGTACCAGGGAGGGAGTGTTTCTTTTACTTTTGAAAGAGAGGAGCGAACTGGGGTTGGGGGGGAGTGCTGGGCGGGGACAGAAGTGCAGCAATGAATGAATGGAAATCCAAAATCTCTGTAAATGCTCATTTAAATTATTTAATAAAAAAGGTAAAAAAATATGTATGTTGCATTAAAAATCATTAATAAAAACATTTGGTAAAAAAAGAAAACAATGTTCAATTCATGTAGTAGGTGCACCTTAGATTATGCTGTAGTAGAAAATGAGCATGCCCTCACTCCTGTGTGGATGTCTGGGCCTTATAAACTCTAGGACTGAGAGCTCATTCCATTGCCTCCAGGATCCCAGCCATTTACTATGGTGCTAATGCAAGATCAGCAAACA